AAATCCACCTGCCTCTGCCTCAGGAAGGCTCAGATTAAAGGCACGTGCCACCACTGCCCATGACAATGAAATTTTAAAAGGACGGGCTGAAGAAATGGTTTGGCCGTTAGGAATACTTGCTATTCTTGCAGAGGATCCAGGTTTGGTTCCCAGGACTCATACAAGACTGGTTCACAACCACCTATAACTCCAGTTCTAGGGGATATGATGTCTCATATGTCCTCTGCAGGTCACTGCACACACACAACTGTCCTAATAAAAACTGCCACTTACACATATGGACAAGCAAGCATTCACACACGCGCATAAAGTAACCTAAAAAAATTAATAGGGAGAGCTGGAGAGATGTCTCCGTTATTAAGAGCACTTGTTGCCCTTGCAGAAGATCAGGTTCTGTTCCTAGCACCTACATCGTGGCTCATAACCATCCTTAACTCCAGTTATGGAGAATCTGATGCCCTCTTCTGAACTCCACGGGTGCCAGGCACCCATGTGGCGCATTTAAAGGCACATAGGCAAAACACTCAGACACATAAAATACATCTTAGAATATTTTTAATTAAAAGAGAGAAATGATGAAAAAGTCTACCTGGCTTGATGACTTATTGGACAAAGATATGGAGGGCAAGAGGGAGACAAAAGCCAAAGATAACTATAAAGTTTCCATCTTGAAGGACAGTTGCAGGATATTTGACCATACCGTGAACGCTGAGATTGCGTTATATACTGAAAAAAGGTTGCGGTGTGGTTCGGCCCTAGCACACACTTTTAATCCAAGGCCTTTCTGCTTAAATACTGTAAATAGGATTAAATAACGTCAACCATAGGTCAAGAGGCGGACCAAGCAACCAACTGACAGGAAGTGACTCCAAGACTGTGTTAATAAAGTTAACTTTGGATTGGTGGGGGCTGTAGAATGCAGAGCCAGTGCCACTGAGACCACAGAGGACAGAAGAGGGAGATGGATAGAAAGATGACAGGAAGTAGTAGGGATTTATGAGACTTTGGGGTCTTTTTTTGATCAGGGACCTGTGGAGAGAGACATTCTCTTGCTGGGTTTCCAGCCAAAAGAGGTCAGGTAGTTGCTTCTCAGCTTCTCTGATCTAGCAAGTTTTCACCCCAATATCTGACTTTTGAGTCTTTGTTGGAAAATAGAACAATAGAGATTTAGTTAAAACCTACATTCCCTCCAGGCTGCAGCCTTAGTGGCCAGCAGGGCACTGACTTGGGCGGGGAGGGTGGCTGGGTGGCTGCAGACAGTAGTTAAAATGTCAGTAGATTCAGGTGCAGCTGATAAGCTGACAGGAAAAAATAAATAAATAAGTAAACATAGGATTATTAAGAAAAAGAGAGTAAGAGGGAGTCAGGAGGACAGAGAGAGATGCACAGGAAGTAGGGGAACATTCAGTTTGAGGAGTTTGGTTTGAGGCCAAGGAGAAGGAAGGAGGCTTCTGGGATGTCTACTGAGGAGAAAGGTTAGCTGGGTGCTTTCTCTGCCTCTCTGAGCTAACAGGCTTTCACCCCAGCAATCTGGCTCCCGAGTCTTTACTGGTAAAATGGAAAGATTTTGAGATTTTGTTAAAAACAACCAAGGAAACCAGGTGGTGGTGGCTCATGCCTTTAATCCTAGCCCTCAGGAGGCAGAGGCAGGAGGATCTCTGTGAGTGCAAGGCCAACTACAGAGAGTTCCAGGACAGCCAGGATAGATACACAGAGAAACCTTGTCTGGGAAACACAAAAACAAAAATACTAACAAACAGAAAAAGGACAACCTTGGTACCACTGATCAAAATCGAAAGATCAAAAAGAAGAGTAATTCCAGCACTTGGAAGGATCAGGGAGGAAGATCTTGATCCTGAAGCCAGCCTGGACAATACAGGAAGACCCTGTTGCTTTCTTTCTTTTTAAAATTTTATTTATTTTATGTGTATGAGTGTTGTGTGTGTGTGTGTGTGTGTGTGTGCGCGCGCCGCCATGTGCATGCCCTTGGAGGGCAGAAGAGAGCATCAGATTCCCTGGAACTGGAGTTACACATGGTTGTGAGCTACCACGTGAGTGCTGAAAACTGAACTCAGGTCCTCTCAAAGACCAGAAAGTGCCCTTAACCACTGAGCCATATCTTCAGCACAAGACCCTGTTTCAAAACATGAAAAACAAGAGCCCATTTGCTGGGTGTTGTTTCATTATTGTTTTGTTTTTGAAGACAAGGCAGCTCTCTGGGTCTTTTTCTTTTTTAAAGACTTCTTTGAATTTTATTTTATGTGTATATGTGTATGAGTGCTTTGCCTTTATATATGAATGTTTACCACCTATATGCAGCTGCCGGAAGAGGCCAGTAAATCCCTTGGAACTGGAGGTACAGGTGGTTCTAAGGCACCTGATATGGATGCGGGGAACTGAACCTGGGTCCTCTGCAAGAGCATCAAGTGCTCTTAACTCTCAGCCATCTCTCTAGTCCCAAAACACCTAGTTTTGATGGGGGAAAGATGCTTGTATTTAAGTAGGTTTCATTCAAATGCTCTTAGGAAAACGATGTTGTCCACAAAGAGATGGAAGTGTATGGAATCTGGAAAATGCTGACATTAATTAAATAATGGTAAGGACCTTTCAGTATTAATTGAGGACGACTATCATTCCTTTCTGTCTCTAACCAATAAATCCCTGCTATTATCACTTTTACCTGAAACAGAGGGAACTCAATAGCACTTAAAAATCAGCAAAGGTGTCTGAAGACTTGAGGCAGCAGCTCTGAAAACTCACCATTCCACGGAGGAGGCTTCCAGTGGGCTGTTTCCTTGGAGGGGTACATGACAGCTCCCGCAAACTGCTGTGCCCATTCTATATCCGGCTGCCACTGCCGGGCGCCTCTGAGGAATTAAAGATAGATCCTATACAAACAGCATCAACAGTGTGCTTGGTTCCTGGGCCCCCGTTCACTTTTTTTTTTCAAAACTTTTTTTGAGATTTTAATTTAATTACAACATCTCTCCCTTCCCTTTCCCGCCTCCAAACCCTCCCATGTGCCCCTCCCCACTCTCCTTCAAATAAATAAATGGCCTTTTTTCACCAACTGTTATTGCACGCGTACATATATTTGTATGCAATATCTATTCACTCTTATGTGGGTGGGTCCAAGGAAGGATGGCCTGTATTCCAGGGCTGGTATTCTTCAATACCATTGTGCAGTTTTGGACATACAAGCTGGGGTCCAAGCTCCTGCATGAATACGAATGTTGAGAACATCATTTGTTCATGGTAAACCTAAGATTGCTAAGCGAGCGGGGGAGAGGGAAGGAGGAAGGAGAGAGAGAGAGCAAACTCGTATATGCGAGCGAATGAGGGGGAGTGAGAAGCTGGGGAAAAGGGCTCAGAGAGGAGGGGTCTCTTCTCCGGATATGAGAGGAGGAACGCTCGAATCATTAATTTGAAGGGTAGGGTCTTCCACATCACCTATTTCGCCTATGACAAAACAGATTCACCCTTCTTTTCCCCAACCTCCGCTACAGGAGGCACACTGCATCTGGGGACCTGAGAAATCTGACCTGCGCAAGGAGGGTCACAGGCCTGGGTCATTCTTTCCGAAGGGGTCACAGGGCCCTTGAAATGTCCTCAGACTCGAGAAATTCTAGTTTTGAAGAGAACGCATGCAGGAAAGGCCTCCTCCTCACCTGCTGGGCTGATTCGGCAGTCGGATCCCAGACCCGGACCGCAGCACCTGGGCCCCAACGCCGCGGAGGCAGCACACAGCTCTCAGTGCCGCCATCTTTCCCAAGCTGCAGAACGTAAGAAGGAGAACCGGGCGGAAGTGAATCCCGTGCGCCTCCTTGTGGGCTTCTCTGCTATAGGCACAGTGGGGTCACCATCTTGGAAGCTGGCAGTGCGGTCAATTGCAAATGCGACAACATCCGGATTCCGCCTCTCCGCATCACTTGCGCTTAAGTGACTACGACTGCAGTCATCTTTAGTAAGGGCGTCCCTCCCACGGCTTTTCTAGGCGAAAGAGAAATTAACTGCTTTTTCCTGAGGCAACTCCGCGATGAATCCCAACCCAACAGTTGGCTCTGAGTCCACTCCCTGCACTCGAAGTTACCTTACAAACTTCCCTCCCACAAGGACCCGGTCGCACACTCTGCATGGGTGTTCCTTCACTGTTCCTTTCCTTATTGGTCATCCTCCTGCGGTAGTCCTTCCTGCTTCTCGACTGAAGGCTCGGGTTTTGATAACTTATCTTTTCTTTACGGAATCCAAGAGTTAATTTCCAGATGTCCGGAATCGGGACTGTAGAAAAGGACTCAAGTGCAGTTGGGTGAGTCTGAGAGCTGGCCAAAACAAAAAGGAATAGAAGGCCAAGACCACCAGCATTGATAGAGTCGGTGCGACGGTGTGGAGCTACCTTTTTACAAATGGAGATCCTCTGTCAGTGACCCTTCTATCCCTGTAATTCCTGAACCTACGGAATCACAGATTCAGGAAGCCTTCTTAGTGATACCTGGTACCCCACCTCCATTCAAGACAGTCTCACCCTGCCACAGTCCTCCTCAGAAGGATATAACGACATAGAAATGTAGTAACACCAGGACTCTGAGCCTAATTCTGTATGGAAAAAGTTTCCTTGCCCTAGAGGCCTCTCTCTCTCTCTCTCTCTCTCTCTCTCTCTCTCTCTCTCTCTCTCCCTCCCTCCCTCCCTCCCTCCCAGCCCAGCTCCAGCTGGGCCACCCACTCTTTGAGGTTCTACAATTTTCTCATTGGAAAGAGGCCTCCCCCACATCTCCCCCAGACAGGGTCCCCGGGACATAGCCCACCAGCGGTGCAGCTGGGTGGAGCAGACAGACAGGGGAGTGGCACTGGGAATTCTTAGCTGCAGAGGAAGAGGCTGCAGATTTCTAGGCTGGAAATTGACCTAATGGGAACCATACCAAAGGGTGGGGCCAGAGATCCCTTGGCTGTGGGAACTGACCAAGACCTGGTGTAGACAAGGCAAACCCCAGAAAGCCAGGGCAGAGGCTTGGTCCCTCTATATATCCCTCCCTTTCCTAGGCCTTCTTCCCTGCAATATAGTTTAAACGCTAAATGTGTTAATGATGAGAGGAGGCGGATTACTCATTTTTTTTGTGTTAGTGCAGCCTACGAGGAGAAGTCAAGATAGACTCTAGCTTGCTTAGCCCTGGGGGCAGTTTGAGCTGAGACTGGGCGGAAGGCTCTTGGGGGGCTGCCTAGGACACTGCATCTTTTGTGCCTTCTCCCTTCTGCCAACACCCCCCACATGCTGTGGCTGCCATTCTATGGTCCTTTGTCTTCCACCGCTTAGTCACCCTCTTTGTTCCCATCTCGGGTGGGGGGATGGAAAGGAGCAATAGGATACCCTGGTGACAGCTCCTCTTGCCCCTGTCCCTTCTGGTCCCTCATCCCTTGTGTGGCTCCTCCAGCCTCAGCCCCTCCACTCAGGACCAGGGAGGGTCAGGGCATGTGATGAGGTCAAGAGGTGAGACTGGGAGTCACCACAGGGTGGGTAATTGAGGAAGTGATAGGCACCAGGGCAGGGATTAGTGACTGGAGCAGGAAGGGACGGGGAGAGGAAGCCCCCTGATGAGTGCGATCTTGGGCACAGGAGGTGACAAGGCCCAACATGAATAAAGGGGATGGGGTAGGAGAGGGTTGGGGTGCTTCTCTGGGAAAGGGAAGGGACCGCTGAGTGTACTCTCCTTCCTGGGGATTTCCTGGGGAAACAAGTGGCCACAGGGTGGAGTGAACAGAAATGGCCCCACTTCTGAACTCTACTTCCTTGCCTCTAGAGTCTGCTTTTTATCTCCTTAGTCCCCTCCAGTTCCGAATCAGAGAAGTCATTAGCTCCCTTCTCTAACGCCCCCACACATGCACCCACCAATCACTATCCCCATCCCAGGTTCTAGGCTCCTGTTCCTCTTGGTGCCCTCAAATGCTATTTGCACCCTCTCACTCTGCCCCATGGAGAATGAGGAGTCAACGATTACTAGATATTCCAGGAACTACTGGACTCGAAAGGTGGGGTGCGAGGGAACAAGGATTGACTGAGTGATTCTGGTTCCCAAGAGAGCAGGTCTTGTCTAGGTGAGAGGCTGGCTGACTTGAGGAAGGGGGAGGCTCTGGGGTAGTTGGGAGTAGGTAGGAACAGGGCCAAAAGCCTGGGGGAAGCTCCTGGGAGCTGAGCCAGGGGAATGGGCAGTCAGGAAGTCGGGGAGGAGGAGGCCTAGGATGGAATGGCTGTTTCATTTCTTTGAATAGGGTAAGGGTAACTCAGGAATGCATAGCAGAGAGAGAGAGAGGGAGAGAGAGAGAGAGAGAAGAAAAGACATAGTCTGTATCTTCCTCCTATAAAAAGAAAAGTAGCTGACTTCTTCGTCGTCTGTTTATTTCTTATTCCCATTCCAACAGAAAGGTCCTGAGCTGTCTCCTGCTCTCTTGTCTCTCCTGCCCCTTCCTTCCTCATGGTCCCATCCTCTCTTCTCTCTTCATTCTTCCTTACCTGTTCCCCGCCTCCTTTTCAAACCAGACAGCTTGGCCCTAGAAATCAGCCTCTGGGATAGAGGGCAACATAAGTGACACCTGATGATAGGCTGTTCCAGACTGGACAGTAGGGACATGAATTCTCCCAGGACGTAATCTCATCCGTGTGTGTTGCCCAGGCCCTTTCCCCGAGTCCCTGCTTCCCTTGGGGCTCTGTCCCACCAAAAAGGGAAAGAGACAGCTGAGGGCTGGTGGTGGGATTTGGGAAAAGGATGTGTCATCCACTGGCTCCGTGCCTATAATGCATCTGGCTGCTAGAGATTCCCTTCCCCTGGGCAAGTCCCTCCTATTTTTTTCCCTGTCTTTTTTTAAGGGAAGCAATGATACATCCATCCATCTGAGTCCCACTGACCGAGCTTCTGCTGAGTGGCTTACAGAACAGTCAATCACACACAGAGGGAGGCTCTGGATGCTTAAAAGAGCTGGCGGGGAGAGAGGCTGGGGAGAACCCGGGGGAGACCCACTGATACACAGAAAGGAAAGAGACCGAGGAGGAGAGAGACAGAGACAAAGAGACAGCCAAAGGAGACAGAGACAGAGCAGGCACTGAGACAGAGCCACACAGCTGGGCAGAGGGTGAAGCCAGAGAAGCTGAAGAAGACACAGACAGGGAGAGACAAAGACCCAGGAGAGAAGTGCACAGGAGGAAGTTTTGGAGGAGAGAGGTCCCCTAGGCACTTTTCCTGGGCCCAGGGGCTGTTTTCTTCATCGTCTCTGAACGTCTCTAGCCCCTCTAAAAACTTCGCCTCAGATTTTGGCACAAGTCCGAGCCCCTCCGGCTTTAACGAGGAGCTTTCCACAGTGAGGGTGTGGAGGACCTGGTGCCTCAGATGGCCTCAATCCATCCCAGCTGCAGCACCGGTACCATGTCCCAGATGGGCTTGCATCCCGGGAGGGGCTTGACTGGGCACTGGCTGCGAAGAGTCCCTGTCGGCTCGCAGCTTCACAGCGTGCCTTTCTCTGGTCTGGTGTGGTGGTGGCGGCGGCGGCGGCTGCTGCTGCTGCTGCTGGCTTCCCTCCTGCCCTCTGCCTGGTCAGCCCACCCCCTCCCCCGGGAGGAGGAAATCGTGTTCCCAGAGAAGCTCAATGGCAGCATCTTGCCCGGCTCCGGTACCCCTGCCAGGCTCCTGTGCCGCTTGCCAGCCTTCGGGGAGGTGCTACTCCTGGAACTAGAGCAGGACCCCGGGGTGCAGGTAGAGGGGCTGACGGTGCAGTACCTGGGCCAGGCACCTGAGATGCTGGGTGGGGCAGAGCCAGGTACCTACCTGACGGGCACCATCAACGGAGATCCGGAGTCGGTGGCATCTCTGCACTGGGACGGGGGAGCCCTTCTAGGGGTGTTGCAGTACCGGGGGGCTGAACTCCACCTCCAACCTCTGGAGGGAGGCACCCTTAACTCTGCTGGGGGACCAGGGGCTCACATTCTACGCCGGAAGAGTCCTGCCAGCAGCCAAGGTCCCATGTGCAACGTCAAGGCTCCTTCTGGGAGCCCCAATCCCATTCCCCGAAGATCCAAGGTAGGCAGCCCCCGGGGGTTTTTGTCCTGTGTCACCCTCCCGCCATGTCTGTCCTACTGACCCCTATGTGCCCTCTCTCCTCTCACTTCCACTTCCCCCTTTCCAGCTTTTCTCTTCTCTGCCTTTTCCTATCTCTACCACCCCTACTTTGGGAAAGTGTCGGCTTCTCCCTGCCCCAGCCATTTGCTTTGCTCTGAGGATTCCCTGAGGTAAGTCAGTCAGATTCTCTGGGCCGGAATGACCTCTCCCCCTCCCTACCCCGCCCCTTCCTGGCCATGGAGTCTCCTGCTGACACAGTTCCCAGCAGTACAGCTCTCCTAACAGCCTGTCGGCCTAGGCTCATTTCTCTGCCCCAGTGATTTTTACCCTCACCCCCAGCTAGAGGAGTGAAGTTTGAGGCCTGAGGGATTGGGGATTTTTTGGCTTCTGCCGTTGCCTTTAAAATTGTTCTGGCAAACTGCAAGCTAGGCAGGCCGAGGAGAGGCATCCCATCCCTCCGGGTCAATCCTCTTCCCACACTGTGGGCTGACTGCAAGGCTGCCTGAGGCGCCATCCTTCCCTCCCTCCCACTCCTGGGTCTCCCCCTTTTTTTTTTCTCTCTCCCACCCCTTCTCTGTAGCTTTAATCCAGACCAGACGCTCCTTCCACACCCGCCACGCTGAGATCTGGCTGTGGCCCTAGCTGCTGACTGAATTGTTCCTCCAACCACACAGGGCAGACACGTCGCTGTCTCGCTGTCTGTCGCAGCCCAGCCCTCTAGCTCTGTCCCTCAGCCCCTGCCACACACTCCCGAGACCCTAGGGCCCCTCCCGCAGCACACTCCCAGCTGCTTTTCACCTCTGGGGCCCACTCAGCCCTGAAACGTGGCAAGGCTTTCTCCTCTTTCAGAACAACAGCTGATTCTTCAACATTGCCACAAAAGCCCTGGGATTTGGGGGTGGGGGGGTGGGGGGGAGGTCCAAAGCAGTCACTTCAGGAATCCTGTGGGGTGTGTGAGGGCCAGCTGACTCTGCTGAGTTCTAGACCCAGGAAGAGAGGGAGAGGAGAAGGGATCCATGGATCTGGGAGGCTATTTCAGGACCTTCCTCTCTCTCTTTTTTTTCTCTTCAGCGCTTTGCTTCTCTGAGTAGATTCGTGGAGACACTGGTGGTGGCCGACGACAAGATGGCGGCATTTCATGGGACAGGGTTAAAGCGCTACCTGCTGACAGTGATGGCAGCGGCAGCCAAGGCCTTTAAGCACCCAAGCATCCGAAACCCGGTCAGCTTGGTGGTGACTCGGCTAGTGATCCTGGGGTCAGGCCAGGAAGGGCCCCAAGTGGAGCCAAGTGCGGCCCAGACCCTACGCAGCTTCTGTACCTGGCAGCGGGGCCTCAATACCCCTGAGGACTCAGATCCTGACCATTTTGACACAGCCATTCTGTTCACCCGTCAGGTAAGGCCCCAGTCAGCACCACATGCGAAGAACCACAACCCAAAGAGACACCGCCAACGCACAAACCGTGATGGAAAGGCTATCCCTAGAGTTGTGCATCATCATGTACCTGGCCCCAGCCATAGTGACATGGGTTGGCTTGACCATGCTGGGTGCTCAGCATCTAGGGCCTCACTAATCTGGGTATTCAGCCCCAAACGTCTTCTGTGCCCCTTCTCTACAGGACCTGTGTGGGGTCTCGACTTGTGACACCCTGGGCATGGCTGATGTGGGCACAGTGTGCGATCCAGCCCGGAGCTGTGCTATCGTGGAGGACGATGGACTCCAGTCAGCCTTCACTGCTGCTCACGAGCTGGGTAAGGTAGTGCTGGGGCAGTGTGGCACCTGAAGGGGCGGTGAGGGGTACTGAGGATGCTAAAGGAGATAAGGGGCTCACTAGAGTGCAAATGGGGGTATTCTCCTCCTCCTCCTCCTCCTCCTCTTTCTTCTCCCAGGTCTAGGTCCAAGGTCAATATCCTTCTCTGTTCTGGGTGCAAACAGATCTTTCTATTATATAAAGCAGCAAGTGGGGACTACTTTGGACTGTGTATATGTGCATGACTATACATGTTTGGAAGGGGAGAGAGTAAGAGAATGGGGTTTGAGGATTGGGAATGTTAGCTACAATGGAAAATGAGCAGAAGGACCCTTTCCTTTGGGGAAGAGGAGACAGAGCAATAGGAGCTACACATGGACCCTTCAGAGAACCATCAGGGGATCTGAGATGGGGGAGGGGAGGTGGCGCCTATCATCACCAGCTGCAGCCAAGCTTATCATGGATGCCCCCTGGGGACACAGGATGGCACCCTTGGGCACTAGCGGGACCTCTTCTCTTACAGGCCATGTCTTCAACATGCTCCACGATAACTCCAAGCCATGTGTCAGTCTGAATGGGCACGGGGGCTCCTCTCGCCACGTCATGGCTCCTGTCATGGCTCACGTGGATCCTGAGGAGCCCTGGTCCCCGTGCAGTGCCCGCTTCATCACGGACTTCCTGGACAATGGCTATGGTAAGCAGGTGACGCTTTTCCCCAAGTGGGACTCGATCCCTGCCCTCTCCCACCGTACTCTCATTTCTGGAACATTCTCTCTGGGCCCCACGGACTCCTCCATGTGTGTTGCCTCTGCCGTGTGTGGTGGGGTAAGAAATGCTGCTGCATTGGTGTGGTTCCCACGTCCTAGGAAAACAAACAGCATAGATAAGGGAAGCAGCTGTTGGCTCCATGCAATTAGAATCGACCTTCTTAAGCTGGGCGGTGGTGCCGCACACCTGTGATCCCAGCACTCAGGAGGCAGAGGCAGGGGGCATCTCTGAGTTAGAGGCCAGCCTGGTCTATAGAGTGAGTTAGTTCCAGGACAGCCGAGGCTACATAGAAAAACCCTGTCTCAAAAAAACTAAAAACCAAAGCCAAACCAAACCAAACAAACAAAAAGAATTGACCTTTTAAGGACTAGAACTGTCCAATGTTGAAATGGACGGGCTATAAATCATGTAATTACCTTGTCGTTTGATAAAGTACACAAGACAACAGAATGACTTTCACCAGACAAATTTTTGTTTGTTTGTTTTTGTTTTTGTTTTTTTCCAAACAGGATTTCTCTGTGTAGCTTTGGCGCCTGTCCTGGAACTCCCTCTATAGACCAGGCTGTCCTCGAACTCACGGAGAGCCACTTGGCTCTGTCTTATGAGTGCTAGAGTGTGTGCCACTACTACCTGACTCAGACAATGTCTTTTTACTTTATTTTATTTTTATTTATGCATATGTATGTGTGTGTACAAGCTTGCAGGTGCCCATGGAGGCCAAAAAAAGGGTGTTGGATCCCTTGGAGCTGGAGGCAGTTTGTGAGTTTCTTGATGCCGGTGCTGGGAACTGAACTCCCGACCTCTCCAAATGCTCTTAACTGTGAAGCCGTATCTCCAGCTCCCCAAAGTTGCTGATTAGAAGCATTCTCAAGAATTCTATAGATGGGCATGGTAGCACATGCCATTAATCCCAGCACTCAGAAGCAGGTGGATCTCTGTGAGTCTGAGGCCAGCCTGGTCTATGTAGTGAATTCCAGGACAGCCAGGACTATATAAAGAGACTACATCCATTAAAAAAAAAATGTATAGTGGAGCTAGGCATGACAACATGCCTATAATCCTAGTATTGGGGAAACTAAGGCACCACAGAGCTCAAGCTTTCAGCTGGCACCCCTCAGTGCCCACCTCAGGCCCTTGCTAACTTTGTACCTTCACCCCCTTTCAGGGCACTGTCTCTTAGACAAACCAGAGGCTCCCCTGCATCTGCCCGTGACTTTCCCTGGCAAGGACTATGATGCTGACCGCCAATGCCAACTGACCTTTGGGCCCGACTCCCACCATTGTCCACAGCTGCCACCACCCTGTGCCGCCCTCTGGTGCTCCGGCCACCTCAACGGCCACGCTATGTGCCAGACTAAGCACTCACCCTGGGCTGATGGCACTCCCTGCGGACCCACACAGGCCTGCATGGGCGGCCGCTGTCTTCACGTGGACCAGCTCAAGGACTTCAATGTGAGACCTCAGGGCGTGCGTGGCTTGGGGAAAAGGCCGGCCGGAAGGAGACTGGCCCGAAAACCTAGCAGCGAGTGGGCTTATCCCACTTCCGTTCTGTGCCTCTGCAGATTCCACAGGCTGGAGGCTGGGGTCCCTGGGGACCGTGGGGTGACTGCTCCAGGAGCTGTGGGGGTGGTGTCCAGTTCTCCTCCCGGGACTGCACGAGGCCCGTCCCCCGGAATGGCGGCAAGTACTGCGAGGGCCGCCGTACCCGCTTCCGCTCCTGCAACACTGACAATTGCCCCAGTGGCTCAGGTGAGGGTTGGGAAGGCTGGGAGCCCCGGGCAGGGGTGGTAGACAAGAAGGACCGTCCCTTGAGGGCTGAACTAAGGTGCTGGTTGACTCTGCTGCTTGGGGGGAGGTTTCTTTCCCTTTCCAGAGCTGTCCCTAGCAGTCTGTGAGGGAGAGAGGTGCCATGCTGGCTCAAGTTCCGAGGGGCTAGGTGGAAGGGTGTGTGGGATAGTGTGAGGGAGAGCAGCTCAGCCTGTCCATTTCATCCCTATAGCATTGACCTTCCGTGAGGAGCAGTGTGCCGCCTACAACCACAGGACTGACCTCTTCAAGAGCTTTCCAGGACCCATGGACTGGGTCCCACGCTACACTGGTGTAGCCCCTCGAGACCAGTGCAAACTCACCTGCCAGGCCCGGGCACTGGGTTACTACTACGTACTGGAGCCACGGGTGAGGACCAGAAACCTTCAGGCCCAGTCAGGGCCTACACACCTCCCAGTGATCCTTCTGATTTCTGATAAATACCTTTTTAAAAAGCCCCTCCAGACCATTGCTGGCGTTCATCATGCCGTGCCAACCTACAGGTTTACTCAGTCTTGTCTATCCCTGGGTGTCCAGTGTTAGGAGAACAAATGCCTGGCTCTGGATATGCGGCCGGTGAAGCTGCTCTGGCTTGTCCTATCTCTTTCCTTCCCTCCTTCTCTATCCTTTTACTCCACATCTGGTGAGAATGGAGGCATGTGGCCCTTTGGAGAGGTCCTTGACTCTCCTATCCACGGAATCCACTGTCAAAGTATTGACTCCTGGAGAGCTAGTCCCTCAATGGACAGACTTCCCAGAAATCACTGACGTCTGGACACCCCCTTTGTCTTATAGAGTGACCTGTTCAAGGCAAAACAAGCCCCACAAGCTTTGGCCTCCTGCCCTTCCCCGGTAGTCTATAGAAAATTCCTGCAGGTTTGTTGCCCTCTAGTGTCTATCTGGAGGCCGTACCGCTAAGTTTAGAGTTTGTTGCTGAGACTGAAAACCCTTGCCTCCTCAGTTTGTGATCTTTCTAAACCTCAGAAATTCACCCTTCGAAATCTCAGGCAGTGATTGTGAGACCTAGATTTATGTTTATAAAGCATTTTGCACATGGCCTGATAGACAATCAATGCTGGAAAAATGACTGTATCACTATTATCATTATAATCTCATATAGGCGAAGGGCTCACTCTACATCCCCTTCCTTACCCATTTTTTTTTTTCTGATACCACTTTCCAGATGTTTAGCTTACACACCCCTGCTGACTTAGCAAGAACCCTTAACAGTTTCCCTCCTCTGTTCTTTAGGTGGCAGATGGAACTCCCTGTTCCCCAGACAGCTCCTCAGTCTGTGTCCAGGGGCGCTGCATCCATGCTGGCTGTGACCGGATTATTGGCTCCAAAAAGAAGTTTGACAAGTGCATGGTGTGCGGCGGCAATGGTTCTAGCTGCAGCAAGCAATCGGGCTCCTTCAAAAAATTCAGGTCCTTTCACGATTTCTGTCGTCCCGTCGCCTCCCCCCCCCCCCCATTTTCCCAGTTACTGTTCTTGGAGCTGAATGCTTTCCTGGTGACTCAACACTTTCTGGAGTCTAAGTGGGAGACCGTTGAGCAGACAGTTACAATGCAGTGTTCCACATGCTGAACAGAGAGAGAGGACACAGGATGCCGTGAGAGCCTGGGAAGGCATCAGGGAAGGGCTTCCCTGGGTGGTGACCTCTGAGCTAAGAGTAGGAACTGGACAGGCCCCAAGGAGGCCAAGGCTGGCAAGACACTTGAAAAAGTAGCCGCGGTAGGAAGTGTCCAGAGATAAGAGAGAGGAAGGCACTCTAGCTGGTAGCTCTGTTCTCGGGTGTACACATACCTCATGTAAGCCTGCAGAGGCTGCTCCTGACACACACACACATACACACTCGGACAAACACCGTAGGGCAAGCTGAAGGGATTCGGGAGACGCTAAGTTCTTCAACTCCTTTTTCCTCACAGGTACGGATACAGCGATGTGGTCACTATCCCTGCTGGGGCCACCCACATCCTTGTACGGCAGCAGGGAGGTTCCGGCCCCAGGAGCATCTACCTGGCCCTGAAGCTTCTAGATGGTTCTTACGCCCTCAACGGTGAATACACGCTGATGCCCTCCCCCACAGATGTGGTACTTCCCGGGGCAGTCAGCTTGCGCTATAGTGGAGCCACGGCAGCCTCAGAGACACTGTCTGGACATGGGCCACTGACCCAGCCCTTGACGCTGCAAGTCCTGGTGGCTGGCAACCCCCAGAATGCACGTCTGCGGTACAGCTTCTTCGTTCCACGGCCAGTCCCTTCCACACCACGCCCTCCTCCCCAAGACTGGCTGCATCGCCGGGCACAGATTCTGCAGATCCTTCGGAAGCGGCCCTGGGCAGGCAGGAAATAACCTCACTGTCCCGGCTGCCCTTTTGGGGTGCCGGGGCCTCGGACTCATCTGCGAGAATGAGGGGGTTTCTGCAGCTGCCTCATGCTCAAACACAGTAGGGAAGTGCTGTAGCGGGTGAGACCTGCCCTGCCTCTCTGCCCTAAACTGCAGGCTGGCCCTGCCCTGGCTTCCTGCCCTGGGAGGCAGTGATATATAGGTGAATGGAAAGGGGCTAGGAGACAGGCCCCTATCTAAACTGCCCCCTCTGCCCTGCAGGTCACAGGAGGGAGAGGGGAAGGCAGGATGACTCCAGGATCCCAGTTGTATTTATTTAGTATTTATTCACTTTTATTTAGCACCAGGGAAGGGGACTAGGGCCTTGGGGAAACTCAACCCTTACAGCCCCACCCTAGCTATGAAATCCAGGGTGGTGGTGACGAATATAAGTGGTGTGTGTGTGTGTGTGTGTGTGTGTGTGTGTGTGTGTGTTTATGTATGAGGTACAACCTGCCCTGCTTTCCTCTCCCTGGTTTTTTTGGGGGGTGGGGGTGAGAGACGGGGAAAGGGAGAGCCAAAGGCAGGATTGGCCTTCAGGGAGTGAGGGATTATCATATTTTTAAATGTACATATTGAAGTCTGCTATTTATATGCTCCTTTTGGGGTCAGACAAATGTGGGCTGCACCTTGGCTCCACATCTTTGAGCGTGTGTTGTTTTCTTGTTTGCCAGTAATAATTCCTCCCTTAGAAATGTGTTATAAGGGTTAAGTAATGTAAATAAAGAACTAGCATATTGCCTCACCCTCAACGGGTGCTCAACAAATGCCAACTGCTGTGACGGTCACCCTTGTCTGTCCACACTCACCCTCCGTGGAGGGTCTGCAAGGCACTCAAAGCCAACAAGGATCCATGTCACTTCTGCCGATCTTTATCCCCAGGCTCTGGTTGGTAGTGCTCTACTTAAGATTGGGAGAGATGTCAGAAAAGCCCATCCTGTCCATCGCTTCTGTAGGCACATAGTCACCTGAAGCAGACACAATAACCACTTGGCAACCATAGCCAACAAGAACATGAAGATACAAAACCAAAACCAGCCCAACTGACTCCACACCAAGTGCTGGGACGAGACCAGAGCGATCATTGTAAGGGCGATGGTTGAAGGGATGGAGAAGGGGTGTTGCAGTAGCATCCTGGTACTCCAGGAGTTGATGTATCTGAACTTGAGCTAGGATTCAGCATCTTTTTACCTGGGTGATGTTGGGCAAGTCACTTACACACGACCTTGGATGACAAGTATATGGAAGCGGGTAATTAGTAACTGCTCCCACAGCATTGCTCTGCGCTCAAGGATTTTTCAAACAGAAAAGGCTGTGGTAACAGGAGAGGTGACCTTGGTGATGACTGGCTGGGACAGTGACTCCAGAATCAATCAGTGTAAACCCAGTCGACTTCTTGGAAGATGTGAGGTTAGAATGGAATCCAATGAGAGGGACAGGATGTGGTCTGGTACACAGTAGACAGCAAAGCAAGAAAAAAAAGAGGCGTGGAGAAGACACTAAGAAGAGTGGAGCCATCTGTTCAGTGGTGGCAGAATGTGAGGAGCAGCACTGTGCTGGATCTCCTTTCCTTGAGGAATAACCTGGTCAGTCTTGGGTGTGTTACAGATGGGACAGGGGTGGGCAACGGTGTGGTAGAGAATTTTGAATGTTATGTGGCAAGTGCAGAACTGCTAGGGATTGGAGAAGGAACTGAATGCTGAGGTGGGAAGGAGCTCTAGGTAAAGAAGACCCTGAGGTCAGGGTGGACCGTGGTAAAACCAAAGGCATCTTGCTCTTCCATACCACCTTCAGTGGGAACTGCCAGATATGACCTGAGATGCAGGGCAGGGGCTCTGAGGTTGACAGGCAGGCACAGAGGTTGTGGTTGTATGTCTGTACTCTATTTAGTGGAGCTACGGTGTGGAATGCTGTGGATTATGCTCATTGTTAATAATAAAGCTGATTGGTCAATAGCAGGGCAGAAAGAGATTGGGCAAGACAGCCTGACACAGGGAGAATGCTGGGAGAGAAGGGCGGGGTCAAGACAGTTGCAGGAGATGCCAGCCAGCCACCCAGGAAGCAAAATGCTAGATAGGTAAAGCCACATGCCACATGACAATACATAGATGAATAGAAATGGGTTAATTTAAATGTAATAGCTAGTTAATAATAAGCCTGAGCTATTGGCCGAGCATTTTGTAATTAATATAAGCTTCTGTATGTTTATTTGGGACCAGGTGGTTGGGACAAAAAAACTCTGACTCTATTTATAGTGGAATATTTGTTTAACTATGTAAAGATGTATTGCTGTTTCACCTTGCCTGCCTAAGGCATCTGATTGATCTAATAAAAAGCTGAATAGTCAATAGCTAGGCAGAGGAGGGATAGGCAGGATAGGAGGGATAGGGTTGGTGGGCAGATAGAAAAGGAGCCAGCTGTAGACCAAAGTTTTCTGGTCCCTCCCGGCCCTGCCCAGGCAGCAGCTAGTCTTTATAAAATAATCACTCAGAGGCTTAATATTAATTACAGGGGCTGGAGAGATGGCTCAGAGGTTAAGAGTTCTTCCAGAGGTCCTGAGTTTAATTCCCAGTAACTACATGGTGGCTCACAACCATCTACAATGAGATCTGGTGCCCTCTTCTGGCCTGCAGGCAGAATACTGTATACATAACAAATAAATAAGTCAGAAGAAGAAGAAGGAGAAGAAGAAGAAGAAGAAGAAGAAGAAGAAGAAGAAGAAGAAGAAGAAGAAGAAGAAGAAG